AAACAGAGCCTGGATGGCCATCTGTCAGGGGTGCTTTGAATGCAATATTCCTGCTTCTTGGCAGAATGGGGTTGGACTGGATGGCCCATGAGGTCTCTTCCAACTCTATGATTCTATTATTCTTCCCTCACCCTGAACATCATTCCACAGATATATAAACCCCACTTGCCTAATTTCCAACAGACTTCACAACCTCTGAGGATGCCTGCCATAGATGTGGGCAAAACATCAGGAGAGAATGCTTCCAGAACTTGGCCAGACAGCCCGGAAAACTCACAGCACCCCATTGATTCCAGCCATGAAAGTCTTCAACAACTGATAGCATTATATTCTCTTCTGATGTAATTGTATCATTAAACCCTCTTTCCAGAGCAAGGAATGTATATGCTGACTTTTTCCTGTATTCCAGGAACAGTGCGTATTAGGTTTTAGGGTATTTTTGGAATACATTCTTTTAAAACTTCTGTTTTTCTCTGTTAGGGAAATATTTGTTTGCTAAGCCTCCGATCTTTAACTTGGGAATCCTGTGGCAGGCACCAGTGGGGAGATCTGTTCTGTTTCCATTGGAAAGTCAATGGAGCTGTATGTGTTTCAGCTGCACCTGCTCTAAGCGACACAACTGGAACCATTGTGTGGCAGATCATGGATTCTGTCAGAGTATTCTTACATTGTTGTTATTGTTTTAAGTAATATATTACGGCAGAAAAGGGATTAGAAGACATGTGGAGAATTGTGTCAAGCAGTGCTGGAGCTCATAGGGTGGGTGGCGGACATAATTGCTTCTCTGTTTTTCACCCATGAAGCCTTAGCTAAGTCCAGTGTTTCTTAACCTTCCAGTGCCATGACCCCTTAATACAGTTCCTCATGTTGTGGTGACCCCCAACCATAAAATTATTTCTGTTACTACTTCATAACTCTAAGTTTGCTACTGTTATGGATCATAATGTAAATATCTGAAACCATGGCATACAGCCTCTACGCTCATCAGATGGAACCAAACTTCTGAAGGACAAAAAAATCAATTGCACTACGTTGGAAAGAACACTACCAAAGCCTCCTGAATCGCAGCTCCGATGTGGCCGAAGAGGTTCTCTCACAAATCCCACAACAACAAACCAGGGATGAGCTTGCAGCACTGCCTAGTTTGGAAGAAATCAGCAATGCCTTCAGCCAACAAAAAAATAACAAAGCCAGCGGACCTGATGGGATCCCTGCTGAAATCTTTAAAGAGGGAGGACCTGAGCTGACACACCAACTCACCAGCTCATTGAAAAAGCAGATTTCAAGGATGCCACCATCATCACCCTCTTCAAAACACCGACCTTGGAAGACCATCATCCTTGGACTACGAGGGATTGCCTAAGTATCTGATATGCAGGATTTATTTTCATTAATTGGACCAAAATTGGCACAAATACTCAATATGCCCAAATGTGAACACTGGTGAAGTTTGGGAGAAATAGACCTTGTCATTTGGGAATTGTAGTTGCTGGGATTTATAGATCACCTACAATCAAAGAGTATTCTGAACCCCACCAATATAATTGAGCCAAACCTCCTACACAGAACCCCCATGCCTTGAAAGGACTCAGTGGCACATGCTTCCCTCCAGCCTCGCACGCTCTCCGTTGCCCACACATGCATACTACATGCTTGCTCTCCTCTTTCTACTTGGAGTCTCAGAAATGTACCTCCCCTTGGCTGAGACTGGCTGAGAGGTCATCCAATCACAATTACAGAGCTTTTGGTGGGTTGGGTGCTCAAGCAAGTGAGCCAAGCTGCATATTGGTAATGAATAAGGACAGACAGAGAGATCTTCAGCCTTCTCTGCCAAAGGGATTCTTAAGACCATCAGAAATAGATGTATTCTGATGGTCTTTGCCAACCCCTTTGAACCAATGCCATCAAAGCCAGAACTGAAAAGTCAACAACAGATCCCAAATGTAGACTCTGCAAGGAAGCAGATGAAACAATAGATCACATCCTCAGCTGCTGCAAGAAGATTGCGCAGACAGACTACAAGCAGAGGCATAACACCGTTGCTCAGATGATTCATTGGAACTTGTGCCACAAATACCATCTGCCTGCGACAAAGAACTGGTGGGATCACAAGCTGGAAAAAGTTACAGAGAATGAACACGTCCAAACTCCTCTGGGACTTCCAGATTCAGACAGAGTTTTGGAGCATAATACTCCTGACCTCACAATCGTGTTAAAAAACAAAGTATGGATCGTCGATGTCGCAATCCAGGTGACAGCAGGATTGAAGAGAAACAACTGGAAAAGCTGACATGATATGAGGATTTAAAGATCGAACTGCAAAGACTCTGGCACAAGCCAGTACAAGGTGGTCCCAGTGGTGATCGGCACACTGGGTGCAGTGCCTAAAGACCTTGGCCTGCACTTAAACACAATCAGCGCTGACAAGATTACCATCTGCCAGCTGCAAAAGGCCACCTTACTGGGATCTGCACATTATTCGCCGATACATCACACAGTCCTAGACACTTGGGAAGTGTCCGACGTGTGATCCAATTCAACAGCCATCAGAGTGTCTGCTGTGGACTCATCTTGTTGTGTTAATAATAATAATAATAATAATAATAAACTTTATTTATACCCCGTCACCATATCCCCAAGGGGACTCGGGGCGGCTTACATGTGGCCAAGCCTACGATACATAACAGTAACAAAATTAGTTACGAAATAGCAACGAAAATAATGTTATGGTTGGGGATCACCACAACATGAACTGTATTAAGCGTACGGCATTAGGAAGGTTGAGAAACACTGTACTAGAGATTTATTTATTTATTTATCTACGACATTTATATGCCGCCCTTCTCACCTCAAAGGGGACTCAGAGCGGCTTACAAGGTCTATATATATACAATATAGTATATTATTAGCATAGTACAATATCAGTATTTAAATATTACTATATTGTACTATATCATAATATTGTAATATTATTAGCAATATTACATGTAATATAAATATATTATAATATATTGTTAGTATTATTATATTGCATTATATTATAATATTATGCATATTATATGTATATACAATATATTATACTAGCGGTCCCCTGCCATGCGTTGCTGTGGCCCAGTCTGGTGATCTGGAAAATAAAGTAATGAGAAAGTGTTGGTTTCTAATATATGTAATTTCTTTATGCTTGTGGGTAAACAGTATTTCTTGCTGTTTCTTTGTCAGTGTTGATGTGGAGATTGTCTGGTTTGCCCACCCTGGAACATGCAACATATCATTGTCCTTCTTTAAGGGTCCCTTTCAAATCTGATACTATATCTGTGTGTGTGTGAATCATATCTCTATCTATCTATCTATCTATCTATCTATCTATCTATCTATATTGATGACTGGATGGGTCTTTGTCAGGAGGGCTTTGATTACGTTTTCTTGCCCTGATGAAGGGAGTTGGATTGGATGGCCTTAAGTATTTTCTCTTGGTCACAGGGTTCTGTGTGGGAAGTTTGCCCCGATTCTGTCGTTCGTGGGGTTCAGAATGCTCTTTGATTGTGTGAACTGTGAATCCCAGTGACTACAACTCCCAAATGTCAAGGTCTATTTCCTCCAAACGCCATCTGTGTTCATATTTGGGTGTATTGAGTGCTTGTGCCAAGTTTGGTCCAGATCCATCATTGTTTGAGTCCACAGTGTTCTCTGGATGTAGGTGAACTACAACTCCAAAACTCAAGGTCAGTGCCCACCAAACCCTTCCAGTATTTTCTGTTGGTCATGGGAGTTCTGTGTGCCAAGTTTGGTTCAATTCCATTGTTGATGGAGTTCAGAATGCTCTTTGATTGTAGGTGAACTATAAATCCCAGCAACTACAACTCCCAAATGACAAAATCATAATTTTTGAGTGATGGTCACTCCTTGTGTTGTGAGATGTTTGTTGCCAAATTTGGTGTGATTTCCTTCATTGGTTCTTTTGTTTTTAAGGTACTCATTATGCACAGAGCATTTATATATATATATAGATTAGAATTATAGGAGTCAAGGTGGAACTCTCCCTGGTCTCCTCTCTCTTCACTCTGGCCCAGAAGGGCAGTAGGTGCTGGGGGGAGTGGTCCCCAGCTAATGACATATGCAGGAGACAAGATGGAACTGTCCCCTGGCCCCCTTTCTCTTCACTCTGGCCCAGAACAGCAGTTGGTGTTGGGAGGAGGGGTCCCCGACTGATGAGATATGCAGGAGACAAGATGGAACTGTCCCCTGGTCCCCTTTCTCTTCACTCCGGCCCAGAACGGCACTTGGTGTTGGGAGGAGGGGTCCTCGACTGATAACATATGCAGGAGACAAGATGGAACTGTCCCCTGGCCCCCTTTCTCTTCACTCTGGCCCAGAACAGCAGTTGGTGTTGGGAGGAGGGGTCCCCGACTGATGACATATGCAGGAGACAAGATGGAACTGTCCCCTGGCCCCCTTTCTCTTCACTCTGGCCCAGAACAGCAGTTGGTGTTGGGAGGAGGGGTCCCCGACTGATGACATATGCAGGAGACAAGATGGAACTGTCCCCTGGTCCCCTTTCTCTTCACTCTGGCCCAGAACAGCAGTTGGTGTTGGGAGGGGTCCCCGACTGATGACATATGCAGGAGACAAGATGGAACTGTCCCCTGGTCCCCTCTCTCTTCACTCTGGCCCAGAACAGCAGTTGGTGTTGGGAGGAGGGGTCCCCGACTGATAACATATGCAGGAGACAAGATGGAACTGTCCCCTGGTCCCCTTTCTTCACTCTGGCCCAGACAGCAGTTGGTGCTGGGGGGAGGGGTCCCAACTGATGACATACGCAGGAGACAAGATGGATCTGTCCCCTGACCCCCTCTCTCTTCACTCTGGCCCAGAGCAGCAATTGGTACTGGGGGAGGGGTCCTTAGCTGATGACATATGATGGAACTGTCCCCTGGACCCCTCTTTTGTGTGTCTTAGAAAATAGTTGTTTTTCTGATCCCACCTTCTCCTTCCCTTCCCAGATGTCTCTCCAATTGTGGCTGGCCTCATTGGGGCCACCGTCTTGGTGGTCTCGGTCTCAGTGACCGTGTTCGTGTGGACGTGTTGCCACCAGCAAGCCGAGAAGAAGCACAAGACACCCCCCTACAAGTTCATACACATGCTGAAGGGCATCAGCATCTACCCGGAGACCCTGAGCAACAAAAAGAAAATCATACGGATCCGGCGAGACAAGACGGGCGCTGCCAGGAAAGATGGAAGCGGCAGCCTCACAGCGGATGAGGCCGAAGCTGGGCTGGCGGGCTCAGAGAAATTCTCAGGCGGCTTTGGCGTGCCTCCTTGTGTCAAACAGCTTCCCATCAAGGTTGATTATGGAGAAGAGCTGAGCCCGGCCCAAAGCTTGACCCCAGCAGGGAGCAAAACACCCTCTCCGTCTTCCCCTGAAGAGGAGGTCATGCTCGGGGTGTTGACTTTCTCGGTGGACTACAACTTCCCAAAGAAGGCCCTGGTGGTGACCATCCAGGAAGCCCATGGCTTGCCCGTCATGGACGAGCAGAACCAGGGGTCGGATCCCTACATTAAGATGACAATCCTGCCGGACAAGAGGCACCGGGTGAAGACCCGTGTCCTTCGGAAGACCCTGGACCCCGTCTTTGACGAGACCTTTACCTTCTATGGCATCCCCTACAGCCAGCTCCAGGACCTGGTCCTGCACTTCCTCGTGCTGAGCTTCGACCGCTTTTCTCGAGACGACGTCATCGGCGAGGTGATGGTGCCGCTAGCTGGGGTGGACCCCAGCACCGGGAAGGTCCACTTGACCCGGGAGATCATCAAAAGGAACATACAGGTAAGAAAAACTGGCCATTTTGCTTTATCGAAAGCCTAATATGCTTTGGGGTGAGGGTGAAAACATAGTCCCTTTCCATACAACTGAACAAAATCCCACATTATCTGCTTTGAAGTGGAATATATGGCAGTGTGGACTCAAATAACCCAGTTCAAATCAGATATTGTGGGATTTTCTGCCTTGATATTCTGGATTATATGGCTGTGTGGAAGGGCCCATAGTGAGATATCTCCTTCATACAGCTGTAGGAAATCATACAGTACTATATTGACGTTTTGAGACCCCGTACTACTCAAATACCTAAGTTTACCTCTGCAATACCTCTTAAAAGAGAATAAATGAGGCAGCAAAACAGGGAGTAGCATTAGTGAACCATAATGATGTATCCTCCAGTTGTTATATTCCAATCATTCCATCAGGTTTCCATTATACTAGTAAAGGTAAAGGTTTCCCCTTGACATTAAGTCTACTCGTGTCCAACTCTGGGGTGGTGTTCATCTCCATTTCTACTGAGGCGAACTAACACCGAGGCCTTTCATACTGAGGCCTACCTAACACACTGAGGCCCTTCTCCCACCCAGACCTCTCACAGATTGAGGGTGAACCAACACTGAGGCTTTCTCATACTGAGGCCTACTAACACACTGAAGCCCTTCTTCCACTGAGACATCTCACAGATTGAGGGCAAACCAACACTGAGGCTTTCTCATATTTATTTATTTATTTATTATTTACTTTACTTATATACCGCTGTTCTCAGCCCGAAGGCGACTCACAGCGGTTCACAACAAATAAGAACAGCAAAAATTCAATGCTACAGTGTAAAAACAGTTAACAACCTAACATATTACATAATTAATAAACAATTACTACCATTCACTATTCACTATCGTCTCATCATCAAAAACATGATCCAGATTCGTCATCCATTATTCCGTTCCAATGTTCATTAACCAATCATTGCACTAATTATTCGAACGCCTGCTCAAACAGCCAGGTCTTCACTTTTTGCGGAATACCATTAGAGATGGTGCTAGTCTAATGTCCGTAGGAAGGGCGTTCCACAGCCGAGGAGCCACCACCGAGAAGGCCCTATCTCTCATCCCTGCCAGCCGTGCTTGAGAAGCAGGCGGGATCGAGAGCAGGGCCTCCCCGGAAGATCTCAAAGTCCTGGTGGGTTCATAGGCAGAGATGCGGTCGGATAGGTAGCTTGGGCCGGAACCGTTTAGGGCTTTAAAGGCCAACGCCAGCACTTTGAATTGAGCCTGGTAGCAGATCGGTAGCCAGTGGAGTTGGCGCAACAGGGGGGTTGTATGCTCCCTGCGCTCCGCTCCTGTTAGTATCATGGCTGCCGAGCGTTGGACTAGTTGGAGCTTCCGAGCCGTCTTCAAAGGCAACCCTACGTAGAGAGCGTTGCAGTAGTCTAAACGGGATGTAACCAGAGCGTGGACTACCGTGGCCAAGTCAGACTTCCCAAGGTACGGTCGCAGTTGGCGCACAAGTTTTAACTGTGCGAATGCTCCCCTGGTCACCGCCGAAACCTGGGGTTCCAGGCTCAGCGATGAGTCCAGGATCACACCCAAGCTGCGAACCTGCATCTTCAGGGGGAGTGCGACCCCACCCAACACAGGCTGTAACCCTATGCCCTGTTGCACCTCAGAATAGATTCACCTTGCTGAAATCACCAGAATTGCACACAGACTGAAGTCTTTGTAGTTTATTAAAAATAAAAGATAAGAAGTTTAAAAAGCAAGTAATGTTCCAAAGATCAATAAAACATAGCACTATAAAGCAGGATTCCAAGTGGCACCAATGAAACAAAGTCCCATGAAAACATGACAAAATCCCAAAACCATGGACACAAGAACTGTAAGATAATCCAGGCAAATGAGCACAAGCTGCTTGGTCGAGCAAGAAGATGCTCTGACAAAGGTTTGTTTACAAACGCACTGCTTAAAACCCTTTGCAATATATGAAAGCATTTCTTTGGCCTCTGATCTCCTTCTCGTTGGCTATTCTCACATTCCTTCAAACTCTGAATTCCAAACGGTCAGCCCAATCTAAAGTTCCCGTTTCATCAAGGTCAGGCTGCTCATTAGTGTCAGCCTGTTTGCCTTCCTGCTTACTATCAGGCTGAGAACTGCCCTCCTTTTCTGAGTCAATTTGCACCCAGCTAGTTTCAGTATCAAAAACATCATTCCCTGCTGTGGGAAACTGAACTTGCTCACCCTGTTCTTCATTGTCGACAACAGGAACATTTTGAACCTGATTGTGAACCTGAATCCCATCATCCTTGTCACTCTGAGACCCCATCCGAGTCACAACACTATCAGTCTGTGTCTCTGGTTCCAGCTGAGTCACACCTACTATCACACTGAGGGCTACTTCACTCCTCTCACAGATTGAGGGCTACTTCAGACCAAGAGCTACTAAACTACAGACACACCTGCTTATATAAAACTAGAGATTTTGCTGAGTCATTGCATCCATTTAACCTTTTCAGTGCTTGACACACATTTTGATAATTAAAAATACTTAGCTAATTTTTTAAACATTTTTGACAATATTTTCCTTCCTGTGCTAAGACTTCAAGCTCATCTTGTTTGTTTCCAAGCTCTGTGCCTTGCTGTATGGGCTGCACCTCATGAAGACTTCGGAAAATATATTTGGTAGTAGGGCTTTAAATTTGACAATATTTTCCTTCCTGTGCTAGGACTTCAAGCTCATCTTGTTTGTTTCCAAGCTCTGTACCTTGCTGTATAGACATCTGAAGCAGTGTTTGTTCTTCCCTTTACAAGATTCACTCTCATCCTCTCCCTTTTCATCTCCTCGAGAATTCACATCGTTGTTGTTGTTTAGGGCTTGCCTTTGGGCTGTTCCTCGAGATATTAATCTCTCATCCCGATTCCATCCCAGAATTTAAAGCCCTACTACCAAATATATTTTCCGAAGTCTTCATGAGGTGCAGCCCATGTGTAGCCAGTAGTCCTCTGACTAAGAAGTGAAGACCGTGGCCCAGAAGCCATACCACGCCTTCTGTGCCACCAGTTATTCACTTTTACTATTTTCCTGGTTCTGGGTAGTCTTCTCCTGCCTAGAGATTCATAGGCAGGAGTGATTTGCTCAAAGGGCAAACCCTGAATCCAACCTACGAATTGGAGGAGGATAAAAACAAGCCAGAGACTCCATTGTGTTTCCCTCTTTCCACTTGCAAGTCTGGACAGGCATCGCTCTGGACAATTCCTAAGGCAAGCCGAGGCCATCTGAAAGTGCTGGAATCTAGGGCATGACGGCCATGGCAACCCGGGCCGGTATTCACTCTGCTCAGCCGTGGCTTTGTAACACTTGGCAACACTCTGGGTTTATTTCCACCAGATTAACTTCCTTTGAAAAAACATGGGCTTTTCTTCATCTTCAAAGCCCTACAAACACGTCAGCCACAGCCCAGAAGCATTCCAGGCCATGCTGGCTGCGGATTCGGGAAACTGCGGTGCAAAATAAAGGCTTCCAAGGTTCGACTTGTTCCTTCCAATAATATACAGGGTGTTCAAAAATTATATGCACGATTTCAATACTATATATATATATAAAAATTTCAGACACCCTGCAGGATAGACATTTTGAGCTGATGCTTTGCAACTTGGAAATAGAGCAGGGGTCCTCAAACTACGGCCCGGGGGCCGAATACGGACCTCCAAGGTCATTTACCCGGCCCTCACTCAGGGTCAACCTAAGTCTGAAACAACTTGAAATCACACAACAACAACAACAATCCTATCTCATCAGCTTGAAGACACATAACAGCCACATTTGTTAAAAGTCACACTCCCCCCAAGACTTAAGCCAGGGGTCCTCAAACTATGGGCCGGGGGCCAAATACGGCCCTCCAAGGTCATTTACCCAGCCCTCGCTCAGGGTCAACCTAAGACTGAAACGACTCGAAATCACACAACAACAATCCTATCTCATCAGCTTGAAGACACATAACAGCCGCATTTGTTAAAAGTCGCACTCCCCCCAAGTCTTAAGCCAGGGGTGCTCAAACTACGGGCCGGGGGCCGAATATGGCCCTCCAAGGTCATTTACCCAGCCCTCGCTCAGGGTCAACCTAAGTCTGAAATGA